TTTTTCTACCTTGGTCAGCCTATTTAAAGTTTTGTCAATTTTCTTGATCTTTCAAAGGACCAATTTTTATTTCACTAATTTTCTCTACTATTTTCTATTTGTCATTTTATTTATTTTCACTCTAATTTTTTCCCCTCTGCTTCCTTTTGGTTTAATTTTTGTTTTCTAATCTTTAAGGTATAGAGTAAAAATATTCACTTGATATCTTTCTTTAATCTAACTAAAAACATTTACAGCTATAAAATTTCATCAAATCACTGCTTTTTCTACACCCCATACATATTGGTATATTGTGTTTTTCTTCTCATTTATTCTCTTGTAATTTCCTTGCATTTTATTTTTGGACCCAATGGTTATTTGTAGCATATTGTTTACTTTCCACACATTTTGAAATTTTCTGTGAATGACTTCTTTTTCAGTTTATTGTGATTGGAGAACATACTTTCAATGCTTTCCGTTTTTTTTAATTTATTTAAATAAGTTTTATTTTTGGGCCTAGCATGTTGTCTCCTAGAGAATGTTCTACGTACACTCAAGAAGAACATGTATTCTGCTTTTGTTAAGTGAAGCGTCCTGTAGACATCTGTTAGGTCTCGTTGTTTACAGCATTGATTAAGTCTTCTATTTTTTGTTGATCTTCTGCTTAGATCTATCCATTATGGCAACTAGGGTGTTCAAGTGTCTAACTGTTGATTTTGAATTGTCTGTTTCACCCCTCAGTTCCGTTGATGTGCCTGTTTTATTTTGAGACTGTATTAAGTACTTATATGTTTACACTTTTTAAGTCTTCCTGATTGGTTGACCTGTTTATTATTATAAAATGTCCTTCTTTGTCTCTAGTGAGTTTTTGTCTTAAAGTCTATTTTGCCTGATGTTAGAATAGCCACTCCAACTCTCTTTTGATTTCCATTTGCATGGTATGTGTTTTTCCATTCTTTTCAACAGTTTTGTGTCCTTATATCTGAAATGTTCCTCTTGTACATAGCTTGTAATTGGATTTATTCTATCCATTCTGATAATCTCTGCTTTTGATTTATAGTGTTTAATCTATTTACACTTAATGAAATTACTGATAAGATAGGATGATGTCTAAAATTTGGTTTTGAAGTTTTATTTATCCGATGTATTTTTGTTGTTGTTTTTCCTTTGTTCTACCATTACTCACTTTTGGGGATTAAATTAGTATTTTTTACTATATAATTTTAATTTTCTTTTCCCTATAGTATATTTTCTTGAGCTTTTTTTTTCATATTTTATTTACCCTTAGAATTACAGTTAACATCTTAAAACAATCTAGTTTGGAGTAATACCGGGTTAATTTCAATAGTATATAAAAACTTTGCTCTAAGATAGTTCGTTTCCCTTCTGCTTCCTTTGTGCTATTCTTCTCATACAAATTACATATTTATGTATTTTAAGACCACCAGCTTACTTTTATAACTATTTTTACAAAGTTACTTTTTTAATTAGATGGAGAAAAAAGAATTACAAACAAAAACATATGTACTGGTTTTTATATTTTATGTAGTTACCTATATCAGTGTTCTTTATTTCTTTACATGGATTTTAGTTACTCTCAAAAATGAAAAGTGCCCTTTCATTTCAGCCTGAAGGACTTCTGTTCGTTTTTCTTGAAGGTCAGATCAGCAAGCAACAAACTCTCTGAGTTATAAATTGCCTTACAATGTATTCATTTCACCTTTTGTTTTTATTTATTTTTTTTTTTCAGTAACCCTGGACACTGCTGATCCTTTCTTTCTTAAAAAAGGATGGTTCCTTGGATAGTTTTGAATTCTTGGTTGAGTCTGCTCTCAACACAGTATCATAAGCATCATCCCACTAACTTCTGGCCTTCACATTTTTTGATGAGATACCTACTGTTAATCTTACTGAGAATCACTTCTGTGTGATGAGTTGTTTTATTCTTGTTGCTTTTGAGATTCTATCCTTGGTTTTCAATCATTTGACCATGATTTGTCTAGATATGAATCTTTTAAAATCTATTCTACTTGGAGTTGATTTAGTTTGTCAGTGTGCAGATTAATGTTTTCCATCAAATTTGGGAAGTTTGGGGTCAGTTTTCCCCCGTTCTTTGATTATTCTTCTGGGAGTCCCATTACACGTGTTGTTACATTTGATGGCATCGTATAATTCTCTGAGGCTCTGTTCATTTTTGTTCATTCTATTTTCTTTCTGTTCCTCAGACTAACTAATCTCAATTTATTTATCTTCAAGTTTACTGATTCTTCTGTCAGTTTATACCTACTGTTGAGTTCCTCTAGTGAATATTTTACTTTCAACTACAGAATTTCACTTGTTTTCTTAAATTCTGTCTCTATATTGTTTTTTTTGTTTGTTTGTTTATTTGGTGAGATATCATTCATACTTTTTCTTAATTCTTTATAAGAGCTTTCCTTTAGGTCTTTGAATATGTTATAACAGCTGATTTAAAATATTCACCTAGTAAGTCGAACATCTGGGCTTCCTCAGGAGCAATTTTATTAACTAACCTCCCCTATGGAGAACATACTTTCCTCTTTCCTTGCATCTTTCATAATTTTTTGATAAGTGGATATTTGAGGTTATATAATGTGGCAAACTGGAAATTAATTTCTCTAGTCCCAACTCATATCACCACCTAAGGCAGGTGCAGTGTTAAACAGTTATACCATTAATTGCTTTTGACAAATGCCTTAGGGATATAATCATTCACTTAGCATACTGTGAGTCACATCTTAGAGGAGCCCTGAGAATGGAGCTTTTCAGGGAGCTGCTACACAGGTTATAAAGTGACGTTTCTTTGGGATTGGGGTTTGGAGGTGCTCCAGACCCATTCTTCCCTGTCTGGTAACTGCCAGGCTGCTAGTTTTCACAGCAGCCATTGTTGTGAGATTGTTGGCCTGTAAGGCTACCATAGAGTTGGCATGGGGATAACAGGAATAGGCAAAATTAAATTCCAAAATCTTGCTGTTTTTACTGATATTTGACTGTTTTTCTTATATTCACACTCTTGAGATTATTGCAGGCCTTTAGTTAGATTTCAGAGTGCTGATAAAGTTGATTTTGACAGATAGTGCCAGTGTTCTTGCTTTGATGGAGGAGCCCATTTCACTACTTCACCGTTCTGCAAGCGATTCCCCTCTACCCGTTTATCCTAAAGCTCAGAGTTTTCAATTTGTTTCTGAAGATTCTATTTGCTACTTTGTGTTTTTCCATTCAAAGTACATTTTGATACGTTTTAGAGTCCCCTACTGAACTGTCCACATTTCCCTATGTATCACAATTAGAATTATATGCTAAAGTAGGAATGTTTCCTATTACGCTTCTTCATTATCCTTTCTGTAATTATATTCTTATCTTTTTCTCCATAAACCAAGTGCTCATATGCATGTACATGAGCTTCTCCTAGAATATTTGGATTGGCACTGGAATTAGATAAGCCTTAGTAAAATAAAGCTTTAGTAAAATAAGCAGTTAATTATTGATGCCTGGCTATCCTCTTTTTCATTTAATTTTAGTACTCAAGATTTCTTCACAGCCTTTTTTTTGAGACAGAATCTCACTCCATAACCGAGGCTGAAGTGCAGTGGCAACATCATCACGGCTCACTGCAACCTTGACCTCCCGGGTTCAAGCAGTCCTCCTACCTCAGCCTCCTGAGTAGCTCGGACTACAGATGCATTTCACCACACACAGCTAATTTTTTTTATTTTTTTGTAGAGATGGGGGTCTCACTCTGTTACCCAGGTTGATCCTCCTGCCGTGACCTCCCAAAGTGCTAGGATTAGAGGCATGAGCCACTGCACTTGGCCTCTTCACAACCTTTCCACATTAATTTTCCTGTAGTCATTTTAGTAATTTCCTGCACCCCTAAATACAAATTTCAGTAATCAAATGGACACAAATGTTAATGTATACATATGCACATATGTTAATATATACATATATATGTATGTGTGTACATGTATACTGCCACCTTGCTCTAATTTCAATTTCCCATGTAACTTCCTTGTTTGGTGGCCTCAACAAATTGTGACTGAGAAACAAGTGTGAAGAAAAGTACTTTGTTGATCTTCTTCAGGTGTCTTCATTATTAATAAAGAAATGCCAAGTCTTTAAGAACCTTTTTTGGGGGCATAATTTTAAAGAAAATGACAAGCAGTGAACCAGCAGGTTTGTATTCTCTTGGTTCCATAAGGGCTTATGGTGTAAGTTTAGTGATTAAGAAGAGCATAGACTTGGGAGAAAAGCAGACTTGTTCGCATCTCTATTCTGCTAAACCGTATAACTTAAAACTAGCAATTCTTTTAGTTTATACTTAAGGAAACTAAGGCAGATAATAAATGGGGTAGTTATGCATATATGTGTATGTGTGTGTGTATATATGCACACATATATATGTATATATATAGTATAAAATGGTTAGCACCTTCCTGACACATAGCAAGCATTAAGTAAATGGTAGATATATATATATATACACATTTCTAAATATATCTAGAAAAATACACAGACATGTCTATAATATATCAGATGATTAAATAATAACAGTACGTGAACATCAATGCTGAGACAAAACCCAACTGAAATCTGTATGATTGTTTTAGAGCTAATGAGTTAAAAATCCTTGATTGAATAAAATTAAAACATCTATTTGAGATGTTTAAAAAACAGAATACCTCATAAGATACAGGAGATTATTATAAAGACAGCGTCTCACTTTGTCATCCAGGGTGGAGTGCAGTGGCACAACCTCCTCACTGTAGCCTCAACTTCCAGCGCGTAAGCCATGCTCCTGCCTCAGTCCCCCAAGTAACTGGGACTACAGGCATGCACCAGCATGCCTGGATAATTTTTGTATTTTTAGTAGAGACACAGTATCGCCATGTTGCCTAGGCTTGTCTTGAACTCTGGGATTCAAGCAATCTGCCTGCCTCAGCCTCTGAAAGTGCTGGGATTTATAAGCATGAGCCACTGCGCCCAGCCTAGGCTACACTAAAATTTATTTAAAAACTAATTATCTGCAGATGGAGCCAGTGTAAATAAAAAAAAAAGAAAAAAAAACCTTGTTCTGCTGTGACATTATGACAGCTATAACATCAGTAGGCAATAGGAATTTTTCAGCTCCATTGTAATCATATGGGACCACTGTCATATAGGCAGTACATCATTGACTGAAATGTCATTATATAGTGTATGCCTATTTATAAATTTGGATGTTTATATATTTCTAAAATGTTTTATAACTACTGAAACTATATCTGTAAATTGTGAGTAGGATGTTATTTACAAATACTTGGATTTATTCTCATTTAAAAATATTGTCTGTGTCTATTACTTGTAATTTTACATTTACTTATAGCTTACAGTTTGTTAAGAGAATTTTTTAAAATTCATTTTACTTTTCTGAAATAATTCATGCATAGTTATTATATTAATATTATATGTCTACGTGCACCTTGGTACTATTTATTAGCAAAGTAGAAGTAGAAAAACAGAAGAGTAACTTGTACAAATGTTAGAGGTACCCTTTTTTTTGAAAAGGAGTACCAGACCAAATACAATGTAACATCCAAAATAATGGAAGTTCTCTGAGGGTGGGTTTTTTTTTTTTTATTATTTCTTTTATTCATATGCTCTCCTTAGCCTGTAAGAGTATTTGATAATAGGTAACTGATAATCATTGTTGGATAAACAGATTCAAGTTTTAAAGTTTGCATGGTGTTCTATTTTAAAATTTGGTTAATGTTTAAGAGATTTTAAGGAAACCTAAAAGTTATACACTGTGACTGCTGGTTGCAGTTTGAGCATAAACTTGTTGGAAAAAAAATGACAAAGTAGATGTTAAATTGACCAAATCTGGAGCTAGTGAGCATTTCAGTGGGACAGGTGGGAAATAGCAAAATAAGTAAAGCTAATAACCCAGAAAGGAAGAGTAGGTTAATTTCCTTAAGTTTGACCAGTAGCATTCTAAGATTCGACTTTATATTTTAAATTATGTTTTTTACCCATTTAGTTACACTTGATATGTGCAGAAATAAGTATATATGTTTTATAAAGTAGACCACTAAAATAAAACATTAACTAAACTTTAGGTACATCAGAATTGCTGAAAGACTTGCTAAAACACAGATTACTGAGCCCATCCCCAGAATTCATGGTGCACTTAATTTGGAATAGGACCCAAGAATTTACATTTCTAACAAGTTTCCAGGTGATGTTGCTGTTGCAGGTGTGAGAGTATATTTTGAGAACTATATCTAAATTGGTGATTCATAATTTTCTTTTTAGAGTGAGCAGATTATCCCTCCCAAGAAGGAAAATGAAAATTCACTATGCTTTTTTTCTTCTCTAACAAATCTGTAGTCCAATGTATAAAGGCCTGCAAAATTCTCTTGATTTATTTTTAGGGAATACCCAATAAAAAGATATATTTTAGAAACTTTTTCAATGTAACAGTGATTATTTCCTATAATAAAGTATGTGAATTGTAATTCACAGTAAGAAAAGGTTTAATTAATACCAATTGTGTCTTAGTCTGTTGGCTGCTGTAACAAAGTATCATAGACTGAGTGACTTTTATAAATGACTAAAGTTTTCTCACATTTCGGAGGCTGGGAAGTCCAAGCTCAAGGGACTGGCAGATTTGATGTCTGATGAGGGTGCACTTCCTGGTTCATAGAGGACATTGCCTTGCTGTGTCTTCACAAGTGGAAGAGGGGACAAGCAAGGAAGCTCTCTGGGATTTCTTTCATAAGGGCTTTAATTTCATTCCTGCCTTCATGACCTAATCACCTCCCAAAGGTCCCATCATAACACCGATGATTAGGTTTCAACATAAGAATTTGGGGGGACACAAACGTTCAGTTATAGCACCAATCATTATATAAAAATGAGCTTTCACATGTAAATAGCTTTATTTTTGAAACCCAAAGGTCAAGCTCAATCTATTTTGGAAAGTCATCCTTATTTGTCAGAGAATAAGAAAAGTATTTCCAATTGGTAAATTCAGAAGAAATGCTTTATTGTTATTGTTGTCCAATTATTACTAAAAAGCTTTTCCTTAATACTGTTGCAGCAATCAGACAAAAGCTTTTCCAGTTAATGTATGATCACAGATAATCAAGCTATGATGTTATCCCATAAATTAATATTTTCAATTTACTTTAAAATCTATGAATGTTGTTCTTTTGATATAATTATTTGAGTACTTAGTTTGGTAAAATTTTAAAGCTGGAGGGTATACCGCATGTTACCTTGTCCAGACCTCTTACTTTACAGATGTATAATCTGAGTACCTTAACCTTGGAGGCCTACACAGGACTGGAAACTCATTCTCTTGATATCCAGTTTGATATTCTTTCCAATACCTTTGGTCATTATTTTATCAGAGGATATTTGGAATTAAATACTTTCAAATGCTTGTTGGATTAAGTGTTTAAGTTTCACCTATACTTGAATTATACAGAGGGAACAGATCATTTATCTGATACAGAGGCAATAAACTGTGTGCAGTTATTTACTTTCTTTATCTCTGTTTTCTTTATTATGCAGATAAGATCAGTTAAAAATAATAGGACCTTGATTTCTTTTTTATAAATATCTTTAGGGTTGATACTGGATTTAATGATAAGGGACTGTATGTTTCTACCACATGATGCTACAAATAGGACTATATGTTTCTTTATTCCTCTTATGAAATAAAATATAGTCCTGATGTCACTATTAGTAAAGGAGTCATTTGAATATTTAATAATGTGCTTTACAATTCAGGATTTATTGTTAAATTTGGTTTTCTACTAATACTTTTTATCTTCTCTGACATTATTGAGAAATGAGTCTTTCTTAAAGAGTATTTTATTTCACTTTTAAAAGAATTACTAAAATGTTACTTTATATTTTGCTCTATATTAAATGGTAATAACTGTACCAGTAATCCTAACAAGTACCCTGAAGCCTTCGGCCAAGTGCTAATCTGCACGTGTGTGGAGCAAAACTCCATAAGAAGAGGACCATCAGAGAGTAGAAGGCACAACAACAGGATGGCAAAAATTTACATTTCTGCTAGCCAGAATGGATAAACCTTCTGTCAGAAGACACAATTATAATAAATTAAAAGATCTTAATTGGCTTTGCCAGAATGGGACAGCATTTTATTCCATAAAATAGAATATATGTTGCAGTGAGCTGAGCAAAAGAGATTGGTTTTATAGACAGAGAAGGAATGGGGGAAGAAATAAAGAATAAAGAGCAGATTGGTTTTTTTAAAGTTACTTTTTTTGTATATCAGGAAGAGGAAAACAGAACAATAGAAAAATAACTGGTTAACTTCAGGTTACTTTTTGTTGTCAGGATTAAAACAAAGGGAGTTTCATTACCATACTTGTTGAAGATTAAAACTGGCCCATTTGGGAAATTGGCTCTCTCTCTCCCAGTTTCTCAGAAGGTGAATGACAACTTAGTTTTGGTTTGATGACATAGAACTTCAGCCTGAGTGACTTCATTTGGATTGTTGGGGCCTAGTTCAGTTTAGTCCAATGGCTTGTAATTTTTATTCAATACTCCCAATACATGGGGCATCAGGTAGAGTCATCAGAAAGGTCACACCATGATAGTGGGGTGACCTTAGCCCTAAAGTCTTCTCTGAATATGCTCTTTCAAAACCTCTATCAAGACTTTAGCCCTAAAGTCTTCTCTGAATATGCTCTATCAAAACCTAAACCTGAAAACTGATATCAAGTAATTGCATGCTAGAACAAGGTCCAACATTCTTTAAAGAAATACAAGAAAATCCAGCATTCACCAAACTAAAAATCATGTCTATGAGTTTCCTAGGGCTGTTGGAGCAAACTACCACAAACTTGGTGGATTTAAAACATAAAATATTTATTCACTCACAGTTCTGGAAGCCAAAAGTCTGAAATCAGATTAGTCAAGGAGAAAGCATAAAGAAGGGGATGGGATCCAGATGCCACATTGTCTTATAAAGGCTGGCACAGAGAAGTTTCCAAATGGTTATGGGCCCAGTTGAAGTAGTGCTAAAGGAAAAAGTGCTCAAGAGTGTGACTGTATTCAGTGCTTAGCTTGTCAAATGACTTGGAGATATTACGAATATCAATTCTTGGATTGCATTATGGATAAAACTCCAAGGAACAACTATGCTTCTGAACTCTACTGCTTGGTGTTCCCTCAGTACACTGGTTTCATTGTACCAAGGCTCATTGAGATTTCTTCAGAAACAACTATAATAATATTTAATCCCTTGAAAGATAATACAGAAATAATTATTCTGAGGTCTTACAACAGCCTGGCAGACTCTGCCTAAATCAAGAAATGGTATCTGGAAAGCACTGCTTTCCAGCAGTGCTGGAAAAGACTGAAAATAGTGTGTCAAAAAAATAAAACTTGCCAGTCCAGTGGCACTGAGACCATGATTATGCCCAAGCAACCCAACGAGCTTTGAGAAAAAGAAGAATTCTGTTTCAAATATGTGAACAGTGGTCAAAATTTGACTACGTGGATTTTGCAAAACATCTCATTTTATAGGCCTGTCATTACCAACATGGACATACTAGCTCATGTCTTCAAACTTCTGTCGCAGAAAGATTTCTTAATTACTCTTTTAGCTCAAGATTTGAGTCATTGCTGAAGATATTCTGTCATACCAGATGCCAAACCACAGTGTGCAAGAAATGGTGTGTTATAAAAGACACTCATCAAAAGAATGGTCAAGAAAGATATTCCTATAGTGATGCCTGACTGAACAAGGAGAAAACAGGCTGTTCCTTCAAACCTCTGGATATGACTGTGCCACCCAACTTCTTTACAGAGCTTTAATTTACTGTAAAATATTGAGATAATAAAATCTAATTGGACATGGGGAAGTTATAATTTATTCAGAATCCACTGCCAAATTAAAACAAGCAAAGAAATTTACCACATACAATATGATGATCAGAAAACAGTAAGTGATCTTCATATGAGAAATTCAGAGCACACTGGATAAAAACGCTGAAATGCAAGTAAATTCCCATGAGCCACGTTGTTTTTGTCCTTCAGTATGTTAAGAGAATAATCCTAACTGAATGGTTAGATTTGGCTGCTGGCATGTGGACAGATGATAGCATGTGAAACCACACTGATTCCTCATTGCATAGCCAGCCTGTACAGTCACACCTTAAAGATATTGCCAGTTTGGTTCCAGACCATTAAGGTGAATATCAATAAGGTGAATATCACAATAAAACAAGTCACACAAATTTTGGTTTCTCAGTACATAGAAAACTGTGTTTAAAACTATGTTTACTGTAGTGTGTAGTAGCACCATGTCTAAAAGAACAGTGTACATACTTTAATAAAAAAAATACTTGACTGCTAAAAAATGCCAACGATCATCTCAGCCTTCAACAAGTCTTCATCTTTTTATTGGTGGCAGGTCTTGCCTCAAGGTGTTGATGGCAGCTGACTGATCAGAGTGGTGGTTGTTGAAGGCTGTGGTGACTGTGGCAATTTCCTAAAATAAGACAAAAATGAAATTTGCCACATTGATTGACTCTTCTTTCACAAAAGATTTCTCTCTGTAGTATGCAGTGCTGGAGATTCCATCTGAAGAAATGACTTTCTTTATTCATCCATAAGAAACAATTCTTTATCCATTCGTTTTATCATGAGACTGAAGCAATTCAATCGTGTTCAGGCTCCACTTCTAATTCTAGTTTTCTTGCTGTTTCCACCAAATCTGTAATTACTTCCTCCAGTGAAGCCTTAAAGCCCTCAAAGTTATCCATAAGGGTCAGAATAAACTTCTTTCACACTCGTATTAATGTTGACAATTTGATGTCCTCCTGTGAATCACAAATCTTTTTAATGCCATCTAGAATAGTAAATCCTTTCCAGAAGGTTTTCAACCTACTTACTCATATCCATCAGAGGAATCACCATCTGTGTCAGCTACAGACTTATGAAATATATTTCTTAAATAACAAAACTTGAAAGTCAAATCTACTCGATCCGTGGGCTGCAGAATAGATTTGAGGGTAGCTTGCATAAAAACAGCGTTTATCTCCTTGTGCATCTCCATCAGAGCTCTTGGGTAGACGAGGTACATTGTCAATGAGAAGTAATATTTTGAAAGGAATCTTTCTTTCTGAGCAGAACGTCTCAAAGCAGTAGGGCTTAAAATATTTAGTAAACCATGCTGTAGATGGATGTGCTATCATCTAGATTTGTTCTTCCATTTATAGAGGAGAGGCAGAGTAGATTTAACATAATTCTTAGAGGCTCTAGGATTTTTGAAATGACAAATGCACACTGGCTTCAACTTGAAGTCACCAGCATTAGTTCCTAACAGGAGAGTCAGCCTGTTCTTTGTAGTTTCTACGCCAGTCATTGACTTCTCCTCTCTAGCTATGAAAGTCCTAGATGGCGTCTCCTCCCAATATAAGTTCGTTTCATCTCCATTGGAAATCTGTTGTTTAGTATAGCCACCTTCATTAGTGATCTTTGCTAGATCTGGATAACTTACTGCAGCTTGTACCTCAGCACTTGCAACTGCACCTTGCACTTTTATGTTACAGAGATGGCTTCTTTCTTTACACCTCATGAACCAACCTCTACCAGCTTCCAGCTTTTCTTCTGCAGCTTCCTCACCTCTCAGCCTTCATAGAACTGAAGAAAGTTAAGACTTTGCCCTGAATTGGACTTTGGCTTAAAAGAATGTTGTGGCTAGTTTGATCTTGTATCCAGACCACTAAAACTTCCATATCAGTAGTAAGTCTGTTTTGCTTTCTTATCATTCATACGTTCACTGGAGTAACACTTTTAATTTTCTTCAGGAACTTTTCCTTTGTATTCATAACTTGACTCTTTCATACAAAAGGCCAGTTTTTTGCCTCCGTCAGCTTTCTACATCCCCTCCTCACTAAGCTTGATCATTTCTAGTTTTTTATTTAAAATGAAAGACTTGCAATTCTTTTTTGGTTTGAACACTTAGGTGGCATTATAGGGTTATTAACTGTCCTAATTTCAATACCGTGGTATCTCAGGGAATAGGAAGCCCAAGGAGAAGGGGAGAGAGACCTCGTGGTAGGGGGCAGGAGGGTGGAGGTTAGTTGGTGAAGCAATCAAAACATACACAGCATTTATCAATTAAGTTTACTGTCTTCTATGGCTGTGGTTTATGGCACCCCAAAACAATTACAGTGATAACATCAAAGATGTTATCAAAGATCATAACAGATATCATAGATATCATAGATCACCATAACAGATATAATAATGGAAAAGCTTGAAGTATTGTGAGAATTACCAGAATATGACACACAGACAAAAGTAAGCTCATGCTGTTGGGAAAAAAATGGCCTTGATAGACTTGCTTAATGCAGGGTTGCTACAAACCTTCAATTGGTTAAAAAAAAAAAAAAAAAAATCGCAGTATCTGCCTATTTGGGAAAAACTTTCAAACCATGTTTTCACTGTGCTCTCACACCACAATTAACACAGAAGACTTCCGTGACCAGCTAGACGTACTCCTATTAAATTCCAATACTCTCGGCCAGGTGTGGTGGCTCACACCTGTAATCCCAGCACTTTAGGAGGCCAAGGCAGGCCTGAGGTCAGGAGTTTGAGACCAGCCTGACCAACACAGTGAACCCCATCTCTACTAAAAATACAAAATTAGCTGGGCATGATGGCGCATGCCTGTAATCCCAGCTACTTGGAGGCTGAGGCAGGAGAATCTCTTGAACCCGGGAGGCGGAGGTTGCAGTGAGCTGAGATTGCGCCATTGCACTTCAGCCTGGGCAACAAGAGCAAAACTCCGTCTCCAAAAAAATAAAAACAAATTCCACTACTGCCTACCTGAAGACAGTGTCAGATCCCACAGGTTGAGGGCTCAGTCCCCACGACTGCCCCCCAGCCCAGGCACCAGTCACAAGTCCAGGCTTCCAGAACTTTTGACCAACTGGCTTCAAGTTGGGGTTCCCACAACTCCCTCTTTCAGTTCACAATTTGCTGGGGCAACCACACTTATATTTACCGGTTTATTACAAGGGATGTTACAAAGGAAACAGATGAAGAGATATGTAGAGCAACTTATGGGGGAAGGAGCTTCTGTGACCTCCCTGGGGCACCACCCTCCTGGAACCTCCATTTGTTCAGCCAGCTGGAAGCTCTCCAAACCCACTCCTCTTAGGTTTTTATGGAAGCTTCGTGACATCAGCATTTCCTCCACCAGGGTAGGGTGGGGAAAGGACCCTCTGATTTTTCATAAGACCTACAGTCAGAAAGGCAGGAGTGGTGATTAGAGTTCTACCTTGGGGCAGGTAAAAGGAGAACAGGAGGAGGTCAGAGATATTCTGTTTTTTGAGGCCTGCCCCTAAGGCCTAACATACCCACCATTAAACAAAAAAAACTGTAACAAGGGATATGGGAGTTACGAACTAGGACCTGCAAACAAAAACATAATACATATCATAACACCATACCATGAAATACAATAACATGAGGTCTGTCTGTACTTAAATGCCAACAATGGTATTATGATGACATGCTCCAAAGACAATTTCTTTTCTTTAGAGAATGTAGCCTCACCAGTCATTCCTTCCCAAGGATGCTGGTTGTAGAGTTTTATGACAAAGATATTTCTATCTCCAGAAATGACAGCTTAATAGTATAGAACACAGTTCTCTAAGTTGCTGAGGACCTGAAATGGATACAAGTGAGGCATTGCCCATTGGTAGTTTTAGTAAGTGGTTCATCTGATACCATCAGGTTTAAAAGTGTACCAGCCTCCTAGGGCTGCCCTAACAAAATACCACAGACTGAGTGGTTTTACAGAAATTTATTTTCTCAATGTGGTATGTGTATGTATGTGGACTGCTACTCATCCATTTAAAGAAGTATGAAATAATGTATTTTGCAGCAACTTGGATGAGACTGGGGCTATTATCCTAAGTGAAGTAACTCAGGAACTGAAAACCAAATACCACATGTTCTCACTTAAAAGTAGGAGCTAAGCTATGGGTACACAAAGGTATATTGAGAGGTATAATGGACATTGGAGAGTCAGAAGAGTGGAAGGAGGGTAGAAAGGGGATGAAGAATGGAAAGTTACCCCTGGGGGGCTGGGCACAGTGACTCACATCTGTAATCCCAGCACTTTGGGAGGCCAAGGCAGGCAGATCACCTGAGGTCAGGAGTTCAAGACCACCCTGGCCAACATGGTAAAACCCCATCTCTACTAAAAATACAAAAATTAGCCAGGCATGATGGCAGGTGCCTGTAATCCCAGCTATTCGGGAGGCTGAGGTAGGAGAATAGCTTGAACCCAGGAGGCGGAGGTTGCAGTGAGCCGAGATGGCACCACTGCACTCCAGCCTGGGTGACAGAGCAAGACTCTGCCTCAAAAAAAAAAAAAAATTACCTGTGGGGTACAATGTATACTATTTGCATGACAGGGTACACTGAAAGCCCAGACTTCACCACTGTACAGTTCATCCATGTAACCAAAAACCACTTGTTCCCTAAAGCTATTGAAATAATTTTTTTTAAAGGAAGAAATTTATTTTCTCACAATTCTGGAAGCTGGAAGACCAAGATCAGGGTGCTAGCACAGTCATTTTCTCCTACAGCCTCTCATGTTGGCTTGCAGACGTCCACTTTCTCGCTCTATCTTCCTCATAAAAACGCCATTCCTGTTGATCCAGGCCTCACCCGTATGACTTCGTTTAAACTTAATTACCTCCTTACAGGCCATATCTCCAAATACATTCACACTGGGGCTAGGGCTCCAACCTATGAATTTTGAGTGACACAATTCAGTCCATAACAGTCACAGATTGCAGAACATGTTTACAGATACTAGTGGATCATGCAAATTTGGTGTGCCATGTTTGGTTCTGTAAGGAGAGAATAATCAGGAGGTACTGTAATAGGAAAGGTGTAATGTGGGCTCTCATAGGCTTTTTGGAGCCCTGCGCCTCTGAAGGGATTCTTTTATCAAGACATCCCTATGTGTAAAATTCAGGAAAATTTTTCGACCTTCGCTTGATAAGCTTCAGATTGTCCGAGGTCCACACAGTGACACAGCCTGATGATGTAGGACTTCCTAATGATTCCGTTGCCTAAGCTGAATCTCCCCTGCTCACCTTCTCAACAGCCACCTAGGGCTCCAGACAAATAAGCATACATTAACCTCATATTTACATAAGACTCATTAAAGTTGAGGTGTTTCAGTGTACCGTAGCCAGGATAAGGAACAACAGGAACAAACCATCCCAGAGTTTCCTGGAACTAGGGAAAAAGAAACAAAGAAGGGAAGGAAGGAGAGAGAGAGAGAGACTGGGTTTAAGTCTTGATTCTATCACTTATTAATTGACTTTAGGAAAGTTTCTAAATTTCTCTGGACATCAGATTTCTCTTTTGTAAAATGGAAATAAGGATACATGGCCTCACCAAGTTGTCAAAGGATTAAGCAAAACAACACCTCAACAACTAGCATGCTATCTAGAACATGGTAAGCACTCAGTACATTTTTGCTTTCTTCTTCTATTATACTACCAGGTAAAAGAGAAATTTGGAGAACAAAGGACAAAGAGAAAAGTTAAAAGTTCCACTTTTACATAAGTGGTTTAACATCAATTTCTAAAGTTATAAAAATGTATAAGTCTTAAATAACACCCCGCATCGCATGTTGTAAATTAGGTAATCTGCTAAGCTGTACAATAGGCATTGCATTTGAGCCATTTGAATTGAATTCTCATTACTGCCCTTATATAGTGACAGCAGAACGAGCCGAACTCATTCGTTAGACTTGACTGGTTGATGTGATAATAAATATTGTTAAATGGATTAAAAGGTACCAGAAACAGCTATGTGAGCTATAATGGAATCCTCTGTTTAAAACCCTTCTGTGCCTTTCCATTGACCATACTATTGAGTCAGAACTTTTTCAACATGCATGATCTGAGCCCTATTTACTCCTCTTCTACCCTTCTATCTCAGCCCTCACATCTAAGGCCAGCTTCCCACCACATTGAACTCTTAGTTTCTCTTCCCTGGACTCTCACATGTGCTGTGCACACTGAGACACACTATATATATGTAACTATATGTGTAATTTTCCATTACATATGTAGTTGTATAACCCATACATTTTCAGATACTGCTTAAGTAGAGAGTAAAACAGTGTAAATGTATTACTTAGTATAGATGTTATTATGTCCTACTTTATACAGTGTATCAGATCCAAATCTAAAATGAAATGAGGTCTTCCTCCTTTTAACTACTATAAAGGATTTTTTTTTAATTTCCTTTTTTTTTTTTTTTTTTTAGAGACAAGGTCTTTCTGTGTCACCCAGGCTAAAGTATAGTAGTACAGTCATAGCTCACTGCAGCCTCCAAACCCCGGGACTCAAGCGATCCTCCCACCTCAGCCTCCTAAGTGGCTAGGACTGTAGGCACAAATTACCACACCCAACTAATTTTTTTTTAATTTTTTTGTAGAGTGATGGGGGTTCTGGCCTTGTTGCTCAGGCTGATGTCAAACTCTTGGCTTCAAGCAATCCTCCTGCCTCGGCCTCCCAAAGTGCTGAGATTACAGACATAAGCCACCATGCCCAGCCAAGGATTCTTAAATGCTTGTGCAGCCACTGCCATATCATTTCGACTTGGGTTTTCAAAAGAAAAGGAAATCAAATTTAATGATTACTGTAACACAAAGAAGGGGATTCTCATAAAAAGCCTTTTTCTCTTAAATTCGTATCAAGTAAAAAGCTCATAAGGATACTTTTTAAAGGTAGAAAGTTTAAGTTGTTGATATAAAACATCAAAAAATATGTGTGTGTAGAGAAATTTATCTCGAAAGAGGCATTAACAATAAACCAAGCGATGAAATCAGATTGTTCTATTGAGCTTTCCTTTTTGTAAAACTGTAGACCTTCTGAATAATTTTTTTTCAGATGTGTCTGCTTAGCACAGAGGAGACATAAAGTTAGTATAAAACAATTCTAAAAAAGTAAATGGTGTGCAAGCTTTTTAAATTTGCTTCACAAGTAATTCACTTAAAAAATTAACATCTGCTATTTTGAAGCTAATCTTAGTGTATTGAATGCTCGTAACCATTTCTCAATCCCACATTGTTTTATCTTGCTTCTCCTGCTGTGTTCCCACCACCCCTCATCCCATTAGCAAACCTTGAGACAGCCTCACACTTACCAAAGTACTGCTTTGGTTTCAGCTGCTCTTCTGCAAGAGGAAGTGAATGTTGGGGGTTTTCTCTGTGGTACAGTTGTGATAAAGCTGTGGTGGTCTTATCTCTCTCTTAGGTAGTGGCTCTTTATGACTACACAGCGAATCGATCAGATGAACTAACCATCCATCGCGGAGACATTATCCGAGTGTTTCTCAAAGATAATGAAGACTGGTGGTATGGCAGCATAGGAAAGGGACAGGAAGGTTATTTTCCAGCTAATCATGTGGCTAGTGAAAGTAAGTTTTATGCTCCCTTCCTGGTTTACTAATATGGTATAACTGATAGTCCAAGATTTTATCATTTTCTAGTCTTTAATTTACTGTCTTTGTAACCTTTGCATATGTTTGCCAATGGGTATTGCTTTTCATTCCCATGATATAAAAAAAATAAAGAGAGGAGGCACTAGTACGTTTAGAAAGCTGCTACATTCTGAGATTGGAATGTTTGTTTCATGGACTTCTTATCCCAGGGGACCATGCCCCTCTAGCTGCCAGCTTTCTTATTCAACTCATTTGACCCTGCCACCTGTTTCATGCACAGTTCTGTCAGTTCTTCTCTTGCCACAGTGACTCCTCAGTTGACTGGCATCTTATGAGCCTCTAGTTCCCCAACTGCAGTTCTTTTATTTTGTATGCCTCAGTCCTAGCTGTTAACCTGCGAAAACAAAACTACAATAAATTGTTTCATTCTCAAGTAAATTTAGCCCTCATTTATGGAAAAAAAAAAAAAAAATGAGCTAGAGAAGAAAATCTACATATGAGTTTCTGAAAGCTGTAGATTCACCACCAGGCCTTGAGAGGTGAAAACAGAACTAATACAGAGAGCCTGAAAACAAAAAATAATAATAACTTGAAAACTATCATTAAAGGGGAGAAGTATAGTAGTGCTCCTTCAGAAGAATGCATCTTGTCCACAATTAACTTGATAGCATGCTAGGAAAAGCACAACTCTCAGGAAAACTGACTTCTAACCCCAGCTCCACAATTTATACTGATATGCCCCAGTTTCCTTCTGTAAAACAAAAAAATTGAGAGATATCATCTGTAAGCTTTTCTTCTGTAAGCACTAAAATTGTGGTTCTGATTCAAAATGTAGTACAGGCAGGCCAGGCATGGTGGCTCACGCCTGTGATCCTAGCACTTTGGGAGGCCAAGGCGGGCGGATCACTTGAGGTCAGGAGTCCGAGACCAGCCCAGCCAACATGGCAAAACCTTGTCTCCACTGACAATACAAAAAATTAGCTAGGCGTGGTGGCAGTCTCCAGTAATCCCAGCCACTTAGAAGGCTGAGGCAAGAGTGCTTGAACCAGGAAGGCATAGGTTGCACTGAGCCAAGATCACACCACTGCACTCCAGCCTGGGAAACATGCAAAACTCTATCTTAAAAAATAAAATGTAGTGTAGGCAGCCTTGAAATTGAGAACAATCTGTGTCTTGAATATTTAAGTCTTTTGTTTCTGCAAAGAAATAATTATTATAAATAATAGTTGGTTTTCAGGATAGTCTACAAAACTGTTTAACTCAAAACTACGACTAAACAAAAATATTGATTCTAACTTAAGTTTTGAATTTTGACAGCCAAAGAGATGAAGGAATGGAAGAAGAATTTCCTTCGTGATTACCGGATGCTGGGCTAAGCTGGGCTAAGCCTAGATAAAATTATCTATCTTTGACACCTTCCCACGACCTTCTCTGCACCCAGGGTCTTCCCAGTGCTCCCCTCCCCAGTCTCTCAAGTGGCCCTAAGTCTCATTGCAGCTCCCTTCCTCAGCTTATCTGCCAGTCAGCAAACTCCTCCCCTAAAAAGTGCTATGTGTCTCAAAAATTATACCACTTCTCACTCCTATAATAAAATTCTTAATTTCTTTTGTGTAGCTGTTTTAGTTATCTTCTTGTAAGTAGTAAATGACATATAACTCTTTTTTTTTTTTTTTTTTTAAGACAAGGTCTCACTTTGTCACCCAGGTTAGAGTACAGTGACGCAGTCATGGCTCACTGCAGCCTTGACCTCTGGGGTGAATCGGTCCTCCCATCTCAGCCTCCTGAGTGCTGGAACTACAGGCATGTGCTACCATGCCCAGCTAATTTTGACATGTAACTCTTAAACGCTATTAGAGGTATATTTTTGTGTTTAGAAGAGGTTGCATAATGGAAAAAACAAGAGGCAGTATGAAAGGAAGAAATTTTGGGACAGGTTAATTCCTATGTAGGCGTAAGATAGCATGTAAGTTCCATAAACTCAGCACTTCTAACTTCCAGATTATCTAAAATAGCCAAGTTCCTTCTTCCCATTGTTGGCTCTCCCACAGGGTCAACAGCTGAGGTTAAACAGGGGTAGCTTCTGTTTAAATCAAGCTTTTTAAATCAAGAGCTGCCGGCACAATCATAGTCACTCCGGAGTATGCCTCGTTTTAACAAGATATTAGAATCCACTATTCTTTTCGTATACCAGTGGAAATATTTTTTTAATTTTTTCACTTGTGTATCTTTAGGCAGGGTGAGATTAGTGCTTTAACTTTAGAATCTAGTTTATAAAAATAACCTCTTAGGCTTGCAGATCTTGAGACGATATAGATATTTGATCTACAGTGAATTAAAAAGCTAATAAGGCTAGATGCAGCGGCTCACGCCTGTAATCCCAACACTTCAGAAGGCTGAAGAGGGAGGATCACTTGAGGCCAAGAGTTTGAGACCAGCCTTGGAAATATAATAAGACTCTATCTCTAGAAAAATAATTTTTTTAAAAAAATTAATAAAATGTGTTCTTCTTCCATAATGACCAAAGCCAGACCTCTGAAGCATATTGCAGTGGTAAGTGATGGCTACATACAGAAATTAATTCTTTTTCTCAGTAGTGAACATCCTCAACTGCCATAATTCCTTATTGTATCCCAGAAAAATGTATGTCTTCTTTTGGCATCAGTCACTGCTTCTTTAAAAAGCCTTGTAAAGACCAGCTCAAACAGGAAAAAAAAAAACTTAGAAAATCTAAGTCTATAATGATTGAATTCTCCCACTTCATTAGGGGTTCCCTTTCCCTTTTATTCCTTTGTTTAACCAAAAAAAACTCAATTGCCCAGTTTTAACATTAGAGAAAACAAATGACTGTCAGTAGCATACTCTAGTCTAAAAATAGTAGGAAGAATTGTCCCTGATCTTTATCTGAAGCCAACTATGCAAAGTAAATGATCTAAAGAAGTATACAAGCAGAATCTCTACCCACTGTTCCATTGAGAGCCTGTCCTCTAACAGAACAACACAATGAGAGAAATTTGTACTCCCACTATTATAAAGAATTTATTCACTTTGTATCTTAACACGCTGGAAAGAACAACATGATCAGCTTCCCTATCACATCTAACACTCTTAAAATATAAGATAAAGAAACCCAGGAATAAAATCACCCCGTATATAAAGATAGATAGTACATCTCTTAATCTTAGTTGTACAATGTTGATCGAGTATATTTCAGCAATTTCTTTCAATTCAGAGTTGTTCTTAATCAAAAAGATTTTCTTTTTAACCCTTCAAAATTTGCACATAGCTGTTTAGATTCAATACCCTATATAGATTCAATAGATTATATAGAATATTGGATTAAATGAATCTTCAATTCAACACTGTATACAGATTCAATATCATATATAGTCCTAACTGCATGCTTATTGATTTCATATTATCTTCCCAAATTATCCTTTCCTTTTTTTTGAGACAAAGTCTCGCTCTGTCTCCTATGCTGGAGTGCAGTGGTGCTATCTCAGCTCACTGCAACCCCCACCTCCCAGGTTAAAGCAGTTCTTGTGCCTCAGCCTCCCATAGCTGGGACCACAGGCACAAGCCACCATGCCCAGCTAATTTTTACATTTTTGGGTAGAGACAGGGTTTCACCATGTTGGCCAGGCTGATCTGAAACTCTTGGCCTCAAGTGATCCACCTACCTCAGCCTCCCAAAGTGCTGGCATGAGCCACCACACCCTGCCCCCAAATTATTTTTCCTGCATACTTCTACCTGATAAAATCCTACCTAGTCTTCAGAGTCTGCTACACCTACGGCCTCTTCCATTAAGCGTTTTCCATCCCCACATCGGAGTTTGTCTTTGTAATTATTTCGCTTTCAAATAACGTCAACATTTATTTTATATTGTAATTACTTGTGAACATGTCTTTCTCTGACCAGATTTTAAGTTCCTTGCTAGTGAAGAACATATGTTCTCCAGCAGTTGCTAGCAGATAACCTTGCATTTAGCAGGTTCCTGGTAAATGTGTTTTGAGATAAAATAAAATAAGCATCTGTCTGACCACATAGTAAGTGACAACACCACCTTCTACATTCCTGAAATCCTGATGATTAAAATTTTCTAATCATACTTCTTTTGATAACTAATGAGTAAAACTGCAAATTGCCATATCAGGCAAGTTTTAGGTATCTTATTGGTACACCAAGGAATGGAATATTGATTTCTTTAATTTCATATTTGCCCCTACCATTGTTTTTTACCTGTGGAACAGTGCTCCTCAATTTGGTTACATGAATTCCTTTTTTCAATTTCAGCACTGTATCAAGAACTGCCTCCTGAGATAAAGGAGCGATCCCCTCCTTTAAGCCCGGAGGAAAAAACTAAAATAGAAAAATCTCCAGCTCCTCAAAAGGTAAATGTTTTAAATATGTGTTACATGTATACTTTGATTTTCACTCTCTCTGGATAAAATATTACTTTATTTTTTATTATTATCCTTTATTGTTCACATTTTTTTTGCCCTGGCACTAACATCATTATGGAATATGTAAGGCAAATATTATAGCCATTTTCCAGATAAGGAAACTGAGGAGGCTCAGAGAGGTTAAAGTAGACTCCAAGTCACAGCCTAAGTGATGGGACAAGGAACTTGTGAGTGACTTTAGGTGTGCTATTTCCACTCTGCACTTATTTCTTTAACTGTGATACTGACAGGGTTTCATCAGCCCCACCTGGGAGGTAAACATTTGTGCTGCAAGATCACTGGAGTTCACAAAATTAAGATGTTCTGTGTTTATGGAGTATTCCTTTTACTTGCAAATAATTTAAAATGTTTTTACATTAAAATGAATATAGCTGTATTATCAGCCAGAGTGACCAGAGAAATGTCCTGTATTTTAGTCTGTGTCATCAGACCCTTGGGGGTTTTCAGCCAGTATTCTTCTGATGTTAGCAGTACATTGGTAGAAAGGTTTAATAAGCACTGCACTATCATGTATATTGCTTATTAACCTTGTTTTGTTATATGACATTAGCTCTTCCCTTAAACTGAATAATCTCACTGCTTCTTGATTCCATGAACCATCATAGATTTTTTTTACAAATACATCTCACGTACATATCATTACAATGTCACAATAAAGTTTTTTGACAGTTGAACCTGACATATATCGTTCACTCATTCAGCATGTATTTATTGAATGCCTTCTTCCATGCACTGTGTTAATCCCCACTGAAATAGGAGTTTCAAGAGTAGGCAAGGCACTTGCCCTTTAGGCTGATGGGTGACACACCTGCAAGCAAGCAAGTCCAGTAGACTGGTGGAAACTATAATGAAGACATGTACACAATGCTTTGGGAACGCATACGAAGAAACCCTCTTAAATATACCCTGGGGGAGTCCAGGAAGAGTTCCCAAGGAGGAAATCCTTGACCTGAGGCATCTAGGATGAAAAAATATGTGTTAGGTCAGTGAAGTTAGAAAAAACTTTCCAGCAGATGGAATAACATGAGTAAGTTATGGGATGGTATGATTATATCTGGGCACAGGTTCTAATACAGAGAAGGACAGGAGAAATGCAGGAGCCAGGCCACAGAAAAGCATAGCATACTCTGCTAAAACACTCAGATTTTATACTTCAGACTAAGAGGATCCCTGAAGGAGGAGGTAATCCAGGGAGTGACATGAACAGATTTACATGTTAGAAAGATCATTCTAGTGCAACAGAATGGTTGCTGAATTTGAGGTAGCTAAGGACCTAAGATAAGGAAATTAGGAATCCATGGAAATATAATATAAAAACCTGAAGTAATGGAAGAGGGCAAAGGACATTAGCTGTAATTGACAGGATTTCATGATTGATTTGATTTGATTAGTGAAATTGGAATCTAGGATTTTGCTAAGGGTTTTCACTTATACAACTGAATAAATAGTGGTGCCACAGAAGTAATGAAATAAATAAGAAAGATGGGAAGACAGGGACAAGGAATCACCACTCCTTACAGTTAGAGATGAAAAGCTTGGTTTTAGCTATCTCAATTTGTTGGTAGTATCTGTAGTGCTCCCAGATAGAAATATCCACTGGAAGCCAGAAATGCAGGGTTGGAATTTGAGAGAATGTAGAGCCTCAAAATCAAATGAGAAAGAATTAGTGTGTTGTTTCTATTATATCAGTAAGTGGAAGCTTGTAATGAAGGAAGAGCTCAGTATGTCATTGAGTTATAAGAGGAGAACACCAAGGATATAACCCAATTAAACACTAGTATTAAGGGACAGTCAAAGGAAGAGAAGATTAAGAAAGAATAAAGGAAAAGGAAAAAAAGAAGAAAAAAAAAACAGAAAAAACAAGTGCACCGGAAGCCAGAAGAGAAAGGAAAGTTCAAGAAGAGGATAGTTGGAAACAGCCAAGCAGTTAGGTTGTCAAAGCATTTGGTCATCAAGAGGACCCTGGTAGCTTTGTACCAGAATCAGTAGATTGGCAAGGATTAAAGAGTAGATTAAAGTTTGAATGAGGCCTCAGCAAGTGAACTCTCATGGAAGTCATTCTCAAAGTTTCACTTTGAAGAATAAAAAAAGATTCAGCAGTGGCTAAAGGGAGACCTGATATCCATGAATGATTTTTTAAATAATGAACAGACATAAAATTATATATTAAGGAGACAAAGCCAATAGACAGGTTCAGGTTGAAGATAGATAAAGAAAGGACACCAAGGACACAGTGGATCTTGGAGGAGGCAGGAAGTACTTTATTGGAAAGACATGTTGACAGATTAGTCTTGCTCGAAGCAGAGGGTTCTCAACTCAGAGTGATTTTGCCTTCCAGGAGTCATTTAGCGAGGTTTGGAGACATTTTTTGTTGTCTCAGCTACAAGGTGGGGGATAATACTGGCATCTGGTGGGTAGAGGTCATGGATGTTGCTAAGTATCCTAGAATTCAGAGAACAGCTCCCCTCAACAAATAATTCTCTGGCCAAAAATGTCAACAGTATGGTGCTTAGAGCAGTGTCCCTCTAACACAGGTAAGTGTGGGTAGGGATGCAGGTAAGTTGATAAAGTGTTGAAGTCTAGAAATTAAAGATATTTTTATGTTCTCCAGAACAAAAGCAAGGTTCACTTCTAATGTGAGGTGCAAAGGAGTGAGATAGGAGCACAAGAAGAATAATAACCATTTGAGTAAGGAAAATAGGAACCCATTTAGGACATAAAGATTCATTAGTAGTTCTGAGAGCTGCTGTTTTAGATACCATAAAAATGGAAGTGACATAAATATGTGCAGTTGGATTTATTTTCTTCAGTAGTCCCTTCTCAGCATCTAGGGCATAGCAATAGAGAAGGCAGATTTGGTTTAATATAGAATTGGAGTTGTGAATGTGAAAGGAATATAAGAGGTTAAGAGACTTGATAGCATTGGTAAGAGTTACCAGAGTGATGCGCCATGAAGGATTATCCAGTTGCAAAGGACGTAGAATCAGAAGATTGGCAGAGTTAGAAAGCAGGGTTCTCCTCTGCAAGGTTGCAGTAAGCTACTGGGGCCCAGGTAGAAGCATAGTGTCACACAGAAAAGGAATCAGCAAGCTGGAACTATAATGTTCAAGGCCATAAACTCTTTTGCTTACTTAGTGTCTCAGATGTTAGGCAGCTTCAAGTTGTGGTAAATTCATAGAGTATGTGTAAGAGCTGATGTGAAATTGAAGAACATGTTATTAGAGTTGAAGTAGTCAAGGAACTGGGACCCAGAGTGTTGTGCAGGTTATAGTCTTGAGCATTAAGATTCCAGGATGATAGCAAGAGTTAGGATGAGGAGGAAACTGATGAACAAAGAGTTGACATCCTTAATTCTTGGGTTAGAACAAAGGTCTCAACTTTGGCTTCACATCGAAATCACCAAACCAATTAAAAAACTAGATATGGATAACAATCGCCACCCCTTCAAATACATTTAATTGGTGAAATGGGAATTAGGTAAGGGCAGATTTCAAAAGCTTTCCAGGTAATTTTAATGTGTAGCCAACATTGACGGCCATTGTGTTAGCGCGACCACAAGGTCTGCAGATCACACATGCAAAGATAAGTAGAGGATGGAATAGCCAGGTGTCAAAGCACTCGAGGAAGAGTGCTTTGGCATTACAGTATCCTAAAATCAGCAGTAGAGAGCGAAGAAGAGGCCACTGTTAACTCCTGGCTCTCGTGGTTCATGAGAGAACCATGAACCATGTGAGAATGGGTATGTGAGAATGAATAGCCTGTGCTGTAAGGAGCTGAAAGAAAAATGGTTTCTTGGTAAAATATCAGTTTCAAATAAGCAAGGATATATGGTGATGGTGGCCTACAACAATGTAAGGACTGTAAGGCGCACAGTCAAGAGGAGTGGCAGGAATTGGATTATGGCAAATGTTGCATGTGTAACAGTACTCATTGTTTGTAATTCAGCACCAGATTTAAGAATTTAGGAAAATGCTTGTTTTAGTTGTGCCTGCTGTAACAAATATAGACTGGGTGGCTTAAACAACAAAATTTATTTTTCCCAGTTCTGGAAGCTGGGAAGTTCAAGAACAATGTGCTGGCAGATCCAGGGTCTGGTGAAAGCCTCCTCCCTGGTTTACAACTTCGTTTATCCTCACTGGGCAGCGAGAGGAAACAAGCTTTCTTGTGCCTCTCATAAAAGCCCCAATTCCATTTATGAAGGCTCTGCCCTCATGGCCTAACTATCTCACAAATACCTCCTAATAACCATCTCATTGAGGGTTAGGATTCTAACACGTGAATTTGGGGGTTACACAAACATGAGGTCCATTACATAGACATGAGGTTAACACAAACATAACACAAACCTGAGGTCTAAATTTGTAACATAAAAACTTTGAATGCAGTGGAAGCATTTATAACATTGGTATAAAGGGTTGCTGTGACAACTAACGATACTTTTAGTCTATATTAAAAACTGTGTGATGCTATGAAAGATATAGCCTTTACTTTTTGTGACTTTCTCATGTCCCTGACTTTGCAACATGCTTAACTTTGAAACTGAGGTGACTTAATACCCCCTCTTAGTATGTTTCTGTCTATTACCCTTGAGTTAACTCTGACTCTGCCAGAGGATATATAAAGAACTCTGTCAATGTCTTACCTGTGAAGTTGGTATTGCCCCTTCGTCTTCCTGATGTGCCTGTGTTCTTATGTATAGGGACCTCCTACTTGCTTCCAAAGCTTCCCTGTTCTCACTGCCTGCGCCACCCCTCTGCTTAGGTGGACTCACTGCACCAGTCTTCATTTAGACCGTAGTTGATGACTTTTGCCCCTCACAGACTGATCTCCATGCTTCAGACATATCTTCGTGTTCATATTCCAGCAGACCAATTCTTCGGATACTATCATCTCCCTTGTGGTCTACTTCAGGCTAATCCCACTGAAGC